TTCTCACCCAAAATGATGAGGCTCATTGTGAGAGAGTTATTTCTTATTCAAGTCATAGCCTCACCCCAGCTGAAAAGAATTATTCTATTACTGAAAAAGAATGTCTAGCCATCATCTGAGCTAATGGGTATTTTCGGCCTTACCTGTATAGGAATTGCTTTATTTTATACACTGATCATTCTGTGCTCCGGTCTCTATTTGCAATTAAACTCCTACAAAATCGTCTTGCTTGATGAGTAATAACCCTGATGGAATATTTCTTTACCACTATCCACAAGCCTGGAAGGCACCATACCAATATTGATAGTTTATCCCTATCTAAAAAGACCTTTTAATTTAAAAGAAAAAAAAAAAAATTTGAAATACTTATCCTTTAAATCTAATAATCCAGTCCAGGTTACGATGTCCTGGCAACCTCTTCTTATTGATATCCTATAATTATCCCATATTTCACCTAGTTATTCAGTAGCTTATACCCTATAAGCTTTAGTAAAACTTTTCTGTAGATATCCCTATGATATCCTATAGTTGTACCCTATTCCTAAAAAAAAAAAAAAAAAAAAGAGAGAGAAAATTTTCATTATGGATCCAAAACTTTATAATACTTACCGAGAATTTTTTCAGGGCATTGCTAATTTTTTTCAATACACTAAGAAGCAAATCCAAGATTTAAAATACAAGACCTGACATTATATAGTAATTAGTAACTTATTTTATAAGGCTAATCTCCATGACTTTTCCTGTCCTTGTCGAATTTTAAGAAGAGAAGAAATCCAAGCTGTCTTATTTAGCATGCATGATGACCCACTTGCCGAACATTTTGGATTTGAAGCAACTTACCAATGAATTGCTGCTCAATATTACTAGCCCCAAATAGAAAATGATATCTGAAAATATACCCAAACCTGTGAATGGTGCCAGAAAAAGAAGCGTCCACAAATCTAGGAACTATTATATCCCATTAAAATCGGCCAAATTTTTGATCAGGTAGGGATTGATATTGTAGGACCACTTCCCATCACTTCCAAGAATCATCAGTATATAGTGGTGGCCACTGAATATTTTATGAAATGGCCCAAAACTCGCCCTATCGAAAAAGCAGATGCTGAAACCATTGCCGATTTTATTTTTGAAGACTTAATTTGTAGGCACGGTTGTCCTAAAGAATTGCTATCCAATAGGGGATCCCATTTTTGTAATCAAGTCATTGACACTCTCTGCAAGAAGATGTAGATCGCCCACTATAAATCAATGGTGTATTATCCACAAACTAACAGATTGGTTGAATAGTTTAACCAAACCCTTTGTGGGGTGCTGAATAAGTGCGTTAATCAATTTTAACAATTGTGGGTGAATATGTAACCCTGCTCTATTTGCCTATCAGACTACCTACTACTCTACTACAGGGTATAAATCTTTCTTTTTGTTGTATGGGCGTAATGCCATTCTCCCAATTGAAATGGGTCTCATGACATTCTCAACTAAACCTAATACAGAAAAGGAGTTGGAGTCTCAAATATATCGACGTATTGAAAAGATATATAGAGAATTAACATTAAAATGACAGGAGGCTGTAGACAAAATAAGAAAAGCCCAGAAACATCAAAAAGCCTATTATGAAAAAAAGAATAGGTTAGAGTCATATGAGATCAGAAATCAAGTTCTCTTATATAGGATTAAACTAGCCACGTCGCATAGTGCCAAATTAGAATCCCAAAATTTGGGTTCCTATTATATCCATGATATACTACCCAACAGGGTGTACAAATTGCAGACAATAGATAGTCACGTGCTTAAGAAGAAATACCACAGAAACCGGTTGTCACGTTATTATCCCCAGCAATAATTTCGAGCCTTGCCATATTATATCAGCCATGATTTTTTTTTTTATAAAGAAGCCCCCTCCTGGTCTTTTTAAGAAAAAAAAAAAAAAAGAAATTCTCCTTTTTATAATGAATCCCGTTAAGACCCCCACAAATATCCAAAAAACTCTCACTCTATTAAGTAGTCAAATGGAAAAAACTGGCTTGGAAGAAATATACATGGTATCTTCTAATAGTATCCTTTACTTTACTGACCAGCAAACCCAACTTGTAAATGCTGAGAATCCCAAAAAGGAAAGTGATGGTCAGAGGCTTCGTCAAAGAATGCTGAAATTCCTTCAAGATATTTGGCAAAGCGAGATCACTAATTACCAATTAAAGCTCCTTCAGGAGATACCTGGGAAGAAAAGGTATTAATGATTTGTAAGAGAATCTCCTCTGACCAGATAAATCATAGTTCGCAACTGCCCTATTACTATGGGCTGGGGTCTCTAATGAAAGAAGCCTCTAGGAGTAAGAATGCCAAGGCATTTGTTAAGCAAACAGTGCTCAGGAAATCCAAGAAATTGTTAACTATTGCCCAATGAACCTACCAACTTTATAAGTCCCGGCCCCTCTTATCTTTTTATTACGCAGTGTCTTACCCCTTTATTATTTGTCGATTACTCAAGGAAAATTTTCTACAATTAAATGTAGAAGCTCAAAAGGCCACACAAACTGAACTAAACACAATAATTGCCGATTTCACAGGAGCTCAATCGCAAGGGGAAGCATATGTAATGAATTAAAAACTTTATTTTTTTTTTTTATTATTGTAAATAAATTTTTTATTTTCACAGTAAAATATCTGCATATATATAGTCTATTTGAAATTCCCCATCTGTTTTTAGTAATAATGTCCAATTTAGGCAAATTTATTAATTTTCTTTTAAATAATTCATCACTTATACTAAAATAGTAATGATGGGTGGCTTAGTGACATAGCTACATAAAAATTAGATGAATCACATAAACACCAAAAAAATCACGTATACATGATTATACAAAGTTTGCGTCCTAGGATTTTTTGGTATGTGTGTTATTTTCGTGATGTATACACCCTAATTTTCACGTCCACGTTATAATTTTGGTGTAAACATTGAAATTGCGGTATATACGTTTCTAAAAAATAAAATATATTTAAAGACCTGTAATTCAAAGCGATAGAGAATTGGAATTTATTAGTTCTACTTGATAAATAAATAAAACTACCATTCCATCTTTAATATATTGTTCCGTTCTCACTTGAACAAAAAAATACTTATCTAAATATTCTATTGTGTATTGTCTTACGAATTCAACTTGAACCTTAATAAACCTTTTTGAGACTCAATTCAATTAACTGAATTGACTAGAACTTCGACTTGGTATATTAAGACTCGGATTCTGAACCATTTGTGGAATATAATAACATCATTCGCAGCAGTTTCTTTTGAGAACAACACCTTCGACCGATTATTTAACTTTGATAAATCATCACGTGAACTCAAAGCTATACTAGACCATCGTCTGCTTTTGGTCTTATTATCATCCTTAAGATTGCCGCCCTTTTTAAAAATCCTTAAATTGTCACCATTGTTCTGGAAAGCACCCTATTAATCACCATTGTTATCGACATCACCTGCCACTGCATCACCCCTCATTATACCTTGTCGATACTAAGTATTTGTAAAAATTATCACATTGTTTTTTTTGTTTCATATTATTATAAAAAGACCCACTTCGCTCTCCACTTACCTTCATCTTCATGTATACCATTGGAGTTAAATTGGCTCTTACCCATAATTTTACTCCGCTTTTCCAACAATGGTTATAATTGATGCCGATTGTATGGACCCAAACATTCATTTTTCCTAAAAATTTATCATAAACCCATTTAATA